ATCACAGTGCAAGCCCAGGTGCACACACACAGAGAGTCTCCAAGAGCACAAACACACACAATGGAGTAGCAATAATAATAATTATAGGATAAACACAGAGAGAGCAAAAAAGATAATCCCAACAGGTAAAAGATTAGTTAGACTGTAGTGTGGATGTATGCAAAAAAGAAGAAAAAGAGAACAAAGGATTACCTGAGTCACACCACCACAATCAGCACTACAATCAGCACACAAGAATACAGGCCAGTGTAATAACAATCAGTAGTGGCACACGTATCCACACAGAACTGCTGATACTGCTGCTGCTGTCTGCATCACCCTTCTTGTTGTTTGTGAGTTCAGGAGGAAGTGTTGTTGTTGTTGTGGTGGTAGTAGTTGATTCCTCATTATTGGTTGTATTGGCAGTATTGGTTGTTGACTCACTCGTTGAAGATGTATTATCATTCTCAGTTGATGTAGGATTAGAACCACCATCACTTGCTGTGGCTGAACTGCTGGAAGAAGGTGTAGTTGGTGATGGTGCACCTTCACTTGCTTCATTGTTTGCATGTTGAGGATTATCTGAAGGAGCATCACTGTTCCCTGCAGTAGAAGCAACAGTAGTGTTCCCTGCAGTAGAAGGAGCAGGTGCAGGTGCAGTAGGGGGAGTAGCAACTTCAGAAGTGGATGTACGACCATCAGCAACACCACCAGTACCCGCAGAAGAACCGGTTTCTCTATTTTTACTGGGACCACTATCACTATGACCATCAGCATCAGGTAAACTATTTTCACTGTTGAGGTCTTGAGGATTTTCATCCCCAATTTTACCAGGACCCTTACCAGGCCCTTCAGGAACAGGTATTATTTCTGTTTGTGTACAGGCACCACCAGAATCATCACGGCAATTATCTTGAGTGTCACCATCATTGTTAGGGCACCTCTTCTTGTCAGATGGCACACAATCATCAGTACGAGCAGCTTCAGGTTCACTACCGGTGGTAGAGCACGTAGGATCAGCATTTTCTTGAGTACAACCTTTACCAACAGCATCTGGAGAATGAGAAGAAACAGCAGCAGTAAGTAGTCCAGGAGGTTGAACACCAGGTGCAGTGGGATGAACACCAGGTGCAGTAGGAGGGCACTTAGACCCAGAACCAGAAGGGCAAGGAGATTCAGGATCACCTTTAGGACCAACTGCAGCAGCTGCAGCAGCCTCGCTAGCGGACGTGCAGAGAGCGGCAACACTCAGCAAGAAAGCAAAAAAACACAACAAACGTCGCAGCACCCTCATCACGAAAAAATTTAATCCTCGTTTGTTTGCTTAGGTATATAAACTGTTAAAGATCAAAACAATAAAATACAAGAGAAGCAAAAACACGGAAAAAACAGGCGACAAACAAGCAACGGTCACACAAAAGAAGAACACCAACACAAAGTATAAAAAAACGAATAATCATGCACCTCACACACACAAAAACCCAAGCGAAAAAAATTATAAACAAATTAAGAGCAAAGCCAACAAAGCCACCAACTGCACAACCATAGCAAAGAGCCCGTACTGTGCATTTGCACATAAGCAACTAAGAATAAATATGTATAAATTACTCTTTGTTTCTGCAGAAACCGAATCAGTACAAGGCAAAACACACAAGCAAACAAACAAACAGATATTAACCATTAAGCCCAATTAATCCAGTAAACACAGAAATACACCAACTATGGGTGTAAGTCTATATGTGTATATACGCAATTATAAATATAAATTCATATGTTATTATTATTTCATTTTTCTTCCCACTGCAAAAAAACAGTTCATCATCATCATCATCACAGTGCAAAGCCCTGGCACACACAGAGAGAGTCTCCAAGAACACACACACACACACAATGGAGTGGCAATAATAATTATTATAGGATAAACACAAAGAGAGTAAAAACACACAAAACACACATTAACATTAAGAAACAAAAAAGAAGAATATAATCTCAATAGGTGGAAGATTAGTTAGACTGTAGGGATTGCATGCAAAAAAAAAGAAAAGGAAAACAAACGATGACCTGAGTCACACCACCACACAATCAATCAGCACACAAGAATACAGGCCAGTGTAACCACAATCAGTAGTGGTACACGCACCCACACAGAACTGCTGATACTGCTGCTGCTGTCTGCATCACCCTTTACATTTGGCATTATGGTGTTATTGCTGATTCCAGGGAGAGGAGGAATTGTATTGGTGGTGGTGGTGGTAGTTGAGATTGATTCCTCGTTACTGGTTATATTGAGGGTAACAGAGTCCGTGTTCGCTGTGGTGTCCCCTTCTGCTGATGCACCAATAGTAGCGACGTGATTTGTTGATTCATTCTCTGTAGTTGTCATATTATCAGTGGTACTCATGGGCTCCGTGATCGTGTTATTTAGTGTGTTTGAATCATCAATAGATAGACCAGATTGAATTATTTCACTAGATGATGCATCTGTAGTAGGATGTGGTTTTGAGTCAGCAGTAACATGGGATTCTGTACTTGTTGTACCTGTGACATTTGGTTCTGTATTGTGATTCTCTTGTTGAGGACCGTGTGTGGTTTCCTTTATCTGTTCTTGTTGACCCGCATTCCCATGGTTATGACTTTGTAATCAGTCATTCAATTCTCCTTTTGACTCCCTTGGTGTCTTTTTATTATCCTTCTCACTCTCATTAACTTGATTGGGATTACTCTTCGCTATGATAGAAGGTTTCTCTTCCTTATTGGATGCAGGACCAACACCAACTCCTGGCAGACTAACAGCACCACCATCAAGGTGAGTTGAAAGAGTCATACCATGAGAACCATGAGAACCAGCAAGACCATGTGGATCAGGGGCAGCAGGTCTACGAGCAGCACCATGATTAGGTGGAGGAGGTATTGGAGAAGGATGAGTATGTGGGTGAGCATGACTACCAGGAACACCAACAACAGGACAAGAACCAGGCACACCAGGAGTACCACAAAGACCCTGAGGACCAGCAGAGGCAGAGTGAGACGCCTGCTGTGGACCAAGAGGAACACCAACAACAGGAGGAGACTTAACAGGAGGCATTTTAACAACAGGAGGAATTCCAGGCTTACTATTATAACCAGGAATAGCGGGTTGGAGCCCTACATTATTATGAGGCATACCAACACCAGGCCAAGCACCCACAACACCAAGTTGTAGATGTGAAGGATTAGGATGAAGAACACCAGGCACTCCACCAAATCCAGGGGCACCAGGAATACCAGTACCACCTTTATCTAGATTAGCCACTACGCATACACATACGCAGTACAGCATGAAAGGCAGTAGCCACAGCACGTGGCCCATCATCTTCATAGCCATAATAGTGGTTGTTGGGTTTCGCTTAAAAACACTCTACTACATAGAAAAAAAAATGAGAGATTAAAAAAATGCTCATAATACCAAAAAACCAGACGTATATACAAGTAGAGAAGCACAAAGGAAGCTCAGCAGTGTAGAAAAAAAAATCAAAAACAAAACAATACAGTTAATTAAATCAGTAAAGGTAGAAACAAAAAGGACATACATATCATCACAGACTCCCGCAGTACAGCATAGAATGTCCGAACAAACCATAAGCAAACAAAAAGATATTAACCATTAGCCCAACATACCCAGTAAACACAGAAATTCACACCAACTATGGGTATAAGTCTATATGTGTATATATATGCAATTATAAATATAAATTCATCTGTTATTATTATTTCTCTTTTCCCACTGCACAAAAAACAGTTCATCATCATCACAGTGCAAGCCCAGGTGCACACACAGAGAGAGAGTCTCCAAGAACACACAGAATACTCCATGGCTCTAGTTTATACATTAAATTACTGCACACACACATCTGTGTGTACTAGCAAGAGATGTATACCGTCAGTGAGCAGAGCAGCCCAGTTTTCTACACACACAACAGGAAAAGCAAATAATGGAATTAATAGAAAAAGAACACACACACACAAAAGTAAAAGAAAATATATTCGAATTAAAAGAGAAAGCTGGTAAACAGATTATTAGTTTATTCACCCCATGGGGGATGTACGCAATTATGATTATGTTAGTTTAACCATTATTATTATTTACCCTCAGACGAGTCCCACCGTTCAGTACACCACAACGGAGAACAACACAACCACAATCAACAGCGGTGCTGCAGTGCGCATCCACACAGAACTGACACTGCTGTCAGCATTAGTCTTCTTCTGTAGAGTTGGAACGATGGTGTTAATTTCTGCGTTGGGTACAAGAGATGGAATGGTAATGTTTGTAGTTGGCGCTTCTGTAGGAGTGCGGCTGATCTCAGCGTTGGCTTGAGGAGATGGAGTTATTGGTGCTTCACTGTTGGTTTTGGTGGTGGCCATTGAATCAGCATTTCCATTCTCTTCTGAACCTCCAGTGCCAGACGTACCTGGAGCTGCAGCAGATTGCCTTGTGGGATTAGGGGTGGTAAGTGTACTCGTCTCTGTTGGAGAATGATTCTGTGAAGGATTACCATCATTGGTATTACTGTTCTCTGTGGCGTTTTCAGAAGGTGTTTGCGATGTGATATGTTGGGAATCAACAACTTCAGAAGAGTGTGTGCCTAAAGTTGTTGACGATGTTGCCTCTGCTGATGGTCCACTTTCCTCTGTTTTTAGTGAGACTGAAGTACCAGATGACGACACTCTCACTTCATGTTCACCTTCTGCGCCATCTTGTTTAGTTATTTCAGCCTTTTGGGACATTGTGGGGTCACCCGGACTCTCTGTATCGGGTACGGTATTCTCCGGACCTGAGGGCTCTTGTGATTTCTTTTCCAGTGGGGAGGGTGTATGGGCATTACTATCAGCTACTACTTCCGTTTCAGTTTCACCCTGTTTAATATGAGAAGTATCACCACCAGAAGATACAACATGATTCTGTGCCCCCGCCCTTGTTGAAGATAATGACGGATCCTCCTGTCTCGCATCTTTAGACTTGTCATGTTTTGCCTCCTTATTTTTTTTTTAAAGTAATCATTAATTCCTGTACTCTTTTCAACATAAGGAAACTCACCAGCAGAAGGATACTCACTACCCACGATATTCTTCAATTCATCAGGAAGTCCAGTATTCGCCATCACCGCTTTTGGCTGTAAAGCAGCAGCAGCCGTCATGGTATTCCCGCAGGCACAGCACAGCACAACAGCCAACACACACATCACACGGTTCATCATCATCATGAGAGAGACAAGGGTTTGTTTCACGTAAAAACACTTATCTAGAAAGAAAGACAATAAAAAAGCAAAAATAAGAAAATAAATGAAGTATCGAACATGTTAGGACACACAAATACATTACCACTATGGAAACTCACATCGTGAAAGTAAAACCCACCAGTCAAGTTAAAGAATGCAATACAGCGCAATAACCTCAGTAAGAGTAAAAACAAAAAAAAAACGCCCACACTCACAAATATCCAAAAAAAACTCAATTCTCCAGCAAAACAATAAGCAAACAAACAAAGATATTAACCATTAGCCCAATTTACCCAGTAAACACCGAAATACACCAACTATGGGTGTAAGTCTATATGTGTGTATATACGCAATTATAAATATAAATTCATCTGTTATTATTATTTCCTTTTCACACTCCAAAAAGCAGTTCATCATTATTATCACAGTGCAAGCCCAGGTGCACACACAGAGAGAGTCTCCAAGAACACACACACACAATGGAGTAGCAATAA